ATCTCCGTGCAGGACGACGAAAGTAGGTAAAGGTGGTCAAAGTAGTTTTCATTTACTTGTGTGCAATTCGTATGGAAAATTCATTCGCTTTCTACCCAAAAATAGGTTAGTTGTACCCAAAAGTAGATAAATATGATTATACTCAACCATGGCTTCCCACACTTTACTACTAGAGTCGGTGTATAATGAGTCACGCCAAGAGTGAAGCCAAGTCTACCTATTGAACTGTCAAACCGGCTACCTATCGTGCAAAGTAAACAAACATTACGATGCTATGAAAGGTCCACGAAAGGTATTGCAATAAAATATAAAATATAATCGAAGAAATGATCATAAACACGCAGTGAGCATTCAATTGTCATGGGATGCGTTTGGTAACGATCAGTAATGAGAATTTCTACTATTTTTTGTTGAGATGATTGGACAAAATCACTGATATAATGATTTACAACAGCCGCTATTTTTTTTGCTCGCTAGAAGTCAGTTGAAGTTGATGTAGCAGTCCTCTGTTGCCAAGTGAAAAGAAATGGAATCTTTCGAAAACCGTGATGCGAGCTCAACTGTTTTTCTCTTGGCGTGACTCATTATACACCGACTCTATTTACTACTAGTGAGGTGATTTTGCTCCTCCGTTTTTGACAACATTAGAAGGAGAAAGGAGACAAAATAGTCAAAAATAAGTAAAAGTGAACTGGCCACTGGGTACTTTTTTCTTACCGTGTAAGAGACACGGATGGTGGTGTCATTTTTTAACTAACAACGTATTTCTATTTCGGAAGAGTTTTATATACACTTATTCCACAGACAAACAGACATAACACTCGCAGGTTGTTCATCGAACAAGTATTTAACGGTCAATTTAAAAGTATCGTAGTTGGTAGTACCGCCACCTGTGGCGCGCATAGTCAATTCCCTTGCATTTGACGCTTACACACTACCGCCATCTGTTCAGCGTACTACCCACCACAGTGTACTCAACAGATGGCAGTAATGTTTTAACGACGATGTTTTACAGTGATAAATATTCAATGTGTTATGTCTGTTTGTCTGTGCTTATTCCTTCAACATCCTTATAGGGTGTTTACACTTATGCTATTCTACTAGCGTTAATGAGCCAGCTGCTAGCAAAAAAGCTCACCAGCATAATGTAGACAGGGCATTAGAATCTACCAGCATGAAATTTCAGGAGCAACTGAAATTCGTGCTAGTTGGCTAGTACACTAGCGCTAGCAAATCCGCACAGATGTAAACACCCCATTATACATGTTATATTCACATCAATCTAATATTGTTTTAATTTTTCTATAAGTTTAAATTTTTCTGTGCCGTACATCAACGCCGTTCGAAAAGTTGCACGCACCGTTCGTTAGTTTTGACTACGAAAAAACCTACACGAAGCGTTTTCTACGTACACACGAAACGTTCGTTTCGCCCATTCGCTCGGTCCGTTTGTACTCGTTCAACGCATAGTTCGGTTATGTTTGCAAAACGAAAACCGAACGGAGGGTGTGCAAGTGTAATCTTTCGGTTCGGTTCATAGATGCTGAACAAAGTATAAACGCGTTCAAGCACATCACTGCACTGTGGTCCAAAACGGCAAAAAGTGGAACTTTATTCCTAGAGCCTAGCCTTTACATTTTAGCCATATAGTGTCTTGGGACAAAATGTTTGTATAAATATCTTACATAATATAAAACTGTCAAAAATTAGTCATGTCTTACTATGCAAAAAATAAAAACACTAACTTTTTTCTTTGAGGATATAGGGGAACGATGTCTTCAACAAAGTTGTAGACAACGTAAAAACAAGCAACTTCACTCAATACGTCAAAATTCTAAATCCTGTATTTTCAGAGTTATGGAGCTTTTTCTATGGAAGTTCCCTTAAATTTAGTTTTTCATACTTAACTTCTTTAAATTTCATTTTTCAAGTATACAATGTTCTAGACATTTATTTAAACAATCAAAACAAACGTTTTTGCTCAATATCATGAATCATTACAATTACTCCTTGTAAAGTTATTACAACTTTTATCTTTATTTTTCCATTACTTCATAAGCTTTTAGGAGAGAATGGGGCAAGTGAGGACACAAAATCAACTTTTTTTCTTGAAGCTTAGCTCAAGTACTATAAAGTTGAGAAGGTTTCATTTGTCGCTCCCTTCCCAAATTTGAGTACAATAACCTTATTATTTATGGTTTTTCATGTATTTTTCACTTTCTTTTTAGGTTTTTTATACATAATTTTTTCCTCTTTTATATTTGAAGTATATAATGTTCCAAATAATCTTAAAACAGGAAAAACACATGTATTTGTAGAAGACCGTTTGTCTCTACAATAATGCATTGCAAAGTTATAACTTATTTTAACTTTATTTTGCTTTATTTTTTTGTTTATATGGGAGAATGTGGCAATGGGAACACAACATCATCTAGCCTTCTTGAAGCCCAAGTACCAAAAAGCTATGCAGATCAATTTCACCCTTTCCTCCTCCTATTTGAGTATGACAACTTTACGCTGTTACATATTTTCTTGTTTTTATAGAAAACTTAATATATTGAACATTCGCTGCAATAAAATTATAGCTCAAAAATAATACACCATGTATTATTTTTGAGCTATACGCGAATAGCATAACAGTTTGTGTGATTTCACTGCCTGCTTGCAGTGTTTTTGATATTTAGGTGTACGTGTCGTGAGCATTTGGACAAAGAAAGAAACTGAATATGTTATTCGCGTAAGTACATGGTGTATTATTTTTGAGCTATAATTTTATTGCAGGGAATGTTCAATATATTAAGTTTTCTATAAAAACAAGAAAATATGTAACAGCGTAAAGTTGTCATACTCAAATAGGAGGAAAAAAGGGTGAAGTTGAATCTGCATAGCTTTTTGGTACTTGGGCTTCAAGAAGGCTAGATGATGTTGTGTTCCCATTGCCACATTCTCCCATATAAACAAAAAAATAAAGCAAAATAAAGTTAAAATAAGTTATAACTTTGCAATGCATTATTGTAGAGACAAACGGTCTTCTACAAATACATGTGTTTTTCCTGTTTTAAGATTATTTGGAACATTATATACTTCAAATATAAAAGAGGAAAAAATTATGTATAAAAAACCTAAAAAGAAAGTGAAAAATATATGAAAAACCATAAATAATAAGGTTATTGTACTCAAATTTGGGAAGGGAGCGACAAATGAAACCTTCTCAACTTTATAGTACTTGAGCTAAGCTTCAAGAAAAAAAGTTGATTTTGTGTCCTCACTTGCCCCATTCTCTCCTAAAAGCTTATGAAGTAATGGAAAAATAAAGATAAAAGTTGTAATAACTTTACAAGGAGTAATTGTAATGATTCATGATATTGAGCAAAAACGTTTGTTTTGATTGTTTAAATAAATGTCTAGAACATTGTGTACTTGAAAAATGAAATTTAAAGAAGTTAAGTATGAAAAACTAAATTTAAGGGAACTTCCATAGAAAAAGCTCCATAACTCTGAAAATACAGGATTTAGAATTTTGACGTATTGAGTGAAGTTGCTTGTTTTTACATTGTCTACAACTTTGTTGAAGACATCGTTCCCCTATATCCTCAAAGAAAAAAGTTAGTGTTTTTATTTTTTGCATAGTAAGACATGACTAATTTTTGACAGTTTTATATTATGTAAGATATTTATACAAACATTTTGTCCGAAGACACTATATGGCTAAAATGTAAAGGCTAGGCTCTAGGAATAAAGTTCCACTTTTTGCCGTTTTGGACCACAGTGCACTGGTTTGAAGCCTTAGCCAGCTGGTGCAATTTGAACCGACTGACGATCAACCCAACGAAGTGTTCAGTGATCACTTTTACTCGAAAGAAGGAACCGGTCAAATTTGACTATGATCTTCGGAGCACAATGATCGAACGTGTGGGCCATGTTAAAAAATCTGAGAGTAATTCTAGATTCTTAATTTTCATTCAAGCAACACATCGCTTATTTGTTGACAAGGTGTCAAGTACATTGGGATTTATCGTCAGGATTGCAAAGAACTTCTCGGGCATCTATTGCCTCAAGTCACTGTACTGTTCCCTGGTGCGATTCATTCTGGAATACTGCTCTGTGGTCTGGAGTTCAAACTACAACAATGGTGCTGAGAGAAGTTTAAAAATCAATGTCATGAGTGCTTTATAATTGTCAGATGATTTGAAAGCCCATGACAGGAAATTTAATGTCATGATAATGAAATATCCCGTTTTATCATTCTCAAATCCACCATTATTTAATGCTACACTGCGGTAAGTGACAGCTAAATATATTGTCTAACTTGCTGCAACTGGCTCTTGAGCATTTTGAGCTGAGATGAAAAGTTTTGTTTTAGCTGAAGAAGCTTATTTTTGGTTGAATTATTCATTTTCAGCTTTTAATGTTCGTTGGGTACTCCATCACCTCTTCAAAAGCAAACGTACTTCCAGTTAAATTAATACCACTTTTGATAACCTGAGGCATGACTTCAAAATGACAATGTTGTTCATCTTTCGGGGACAGTTTATGTTTGAACTTGAGAATCACTCATTTTCATCCTTTCATTATTCCATCCAAGCTTCGATCAATTTGCTTCACTCTAAAGAGCTATTCGTACCAAGTAGCTCTACTTGTTACATGATCATTAAGTATTTAACCTTCAAAGAACAACAACAATCCTGCCTAGCTGCCTCGAAACAACCGGGTAGGTAGGTAAAGCGTAGATTTACATTGGTCAATCAAACCGCTCTAGAAATAATACTAGTAGCATCAACTCAACTGCTACATTCCATTAACGACAATCTTTTGTTTCATCTCGTTGCCGGGCCCCAATCAGACAAATCATTTCGTTATCGGTGAATTGGCATCAATCTTGCAGAGGTCAGGCCTTCCACATGCACGTGCTTTCCGCGCTTTTCGTCTCTCATCGACTATTTTTGACCCTACTCATCATAATTCGAACCTCACAATCAATACAACCACCCTTCACTTACCTTGGAAGCTTTCGGTAGGCTGGAACCGTTCAGGACACCGGACAGAGAACAGATTGACCGTTTCTGGTAGATAACTTCGGAAGACGCTGGAGAAGACTGTGCCTTGCCGTGCAGCAACGATATCGACGATGGCGACGACGAAGATGATGAAATCGTTCCAAAGTGTCTTGCTCCGATGGCAATAGTGGTAGTTGTGGAGGCAGCAGATGGACGCTGTAAATGTTTATCCAGCACCGTCGATGGACGCTGGTGCTGAAGACGCATGGCGACGGTAGCCAGCGGTGAGCCATAGGAGCGAGCGAGAGGCGCAACTCCGGCACGTACGATACTCGCAGCCATAGTTTCTTCTTTGATAGTGTTTGGATCGACTTATAATTGCACTTATATCTCACACAAACCAATGCGGAACTTTTTTTTTGTAGGCTTTTGTTTTCGCAAGAACCAAAACGTTCAGCGGAGAACTTGGCAGGAGGGATCGACTTGTTATGTCTACAACCCTTCAGCTCCCGGTGAGACGATATTTTCGCACCTATCCAGAATATACTATGCTGACGGTTTAAACCCGACTGCGACTGTTCAGCAGCTACGACCGATTTGGAAAGAGAAGTGAAATCGAAAGCAATCCCCAGCCTGGACTGAACGGATGGGATTTGTTATCAACGGGAATATTTTTCGTCTTGCGATAACCTCTCGCAGCATCCCATTAAATGTTCTTCAAGTTCAGGTTCTCGAACCTATCAGCATAATAACCACACAACGGGACGTGATGATCCGCCGCAGAAGATTGGTCATCTGGGCAACATGATTTTTGATTGTTGGCACAAGATGTTTGTCGCACGTTATCGGCGAAATTGTTTGCTCTAGAAACAGCAATCGTCAGAATATCACTTGACCAAACACCTAGAATTGTTGCAGTGCGGAGACGGTCTACTTTGGTCAGAAAATAATTTTATTGATTGAATCACTCGAATTTGATTTGTTTTGTTTTCGTCCGGTCGATTCACAATTTTTCACAATCCCATACTACAGTGTCAGCATTTCATAAACATTTCACTCACACTCCTTTGCTGTGAGTAAATAATGAAACATCCACCGGCGGACCGATTATGTTACATTGTAGTACATATTAGTTATGTACAAAGGGAGTTCCCTGGAATTTCGTCTAGACACCACGTGGCCTTGCTAATCCCTTTATATACTTTGAGCGCATGCATAAAGGAGAGAATCGATGTATCCTGATACATTACGAAAATGGAAGTGCAATCATGACGTCACGTACACTCCGCCATCAACCCCATTTTGTTACAGCGGCACCGTACTATTCGACGGATAATATAGGGTTGTCAACAAGCAGTTGACTATAAAAATAATATTCATGCTTGTTTAATGAATTTATAAAACAAAAAGGATTGTATGACGGCGCCAGTGGTTAAGATGACCATATGTGGCAAGTCAACTTTCGGCAGTTAATGCGGTAGAAATGTGTGTAAACCACTTCGCTAATATGTTCTCATGTTACGTACGGCAAAAAATCTGTAAAAAAATACATAGTGGTTAACCCGTTAACACCCAAGTCGTTTTTGGCCACCGGACACTGCGCAACAAGATGTTAAGGATGTTCCAAGGATCATTCTAGTGATATTGAAAACATAATTTTCATTCACAATATCTGTTAAGACCTCGAATTTCAAAAGCACAAATATCAGCTCTCATATACAGGGAGTTCCAATTTCATGAGCGATGTCGAAAAAGTGTTCGAGATTTGTGCTCTAGAAAATTTGAAGTGATACTTATGACGGCCATCGTTGGATTCTTCAAGGAATCACCTTAACTAGTGGGTGATTCAGGGGGTAAGTCACTCTGCCACATTGTGCTAACAACCACAGAAACACACTTCGACACACTTCAAACACCCACAAACAGGGTGCCTTCCATTCATTTTGACTTTAAAAATGTTTTATGAAATTATAGAATAATAGGATATTATGATGATATGTTCTTTGTGTAAGTAATAAGAAAAGATTGTAAAGTTTGTGTTTCACACATCAAACCTGCAAATTTAGCTTTGACAGAGTCACAATGAGCGTTTTTGTGATCGCCTCTTCGCGAAGAGTGAAGAGCGAAGAGTGGGTGAGATAAATTACAAAATCGCTTATTGCGACTCTCATGTAGCAAAATTGGCAGGTATTATGTGTCAAACACAAACTTAACAATCTTTTCTTGTTGTTTACATAATCAAAATATTTTCATAATGTCCTATTATTCCATAATTTCTTAAAACATTTTTTTAGTCAAAATGAATGGAAGGCACCCTGCCCACAAACACCCTTCCGCCGCATGATAAGCACATTTTACAATCAAATCTGGCGCCACCACAAATAATGTTTACATTTCTAGAGTAACATTTGAAATAGGCCTATGTCCAAAACGTAAACAAACCAGAAAATGAATTTTAAATTTTGACCGTCATTATTTAATTCATATTTAAGAAAATTGAAGTATTTTAGGTATTTATATTGTTCACAATAACAATAGTAACTGTATCTCAGTATACAACATCCAAAATATGCGAAAAGCTTTCAAAATTATAGAGATTGCTGACGTTTATCGTACGCACACTACGTCACGTATACGTATACGCAAAATGTTTTCATCGGGAAAAAAAACTTCATAGCAGAAAATTTTCCCGATGAAAACAAATCACTGACACAATCATACTTTAGCAATCTCTATATGAAAATCGATAACAATATAATTTCTTAAATTAATAAGCCTTTTTTGTGAATCTTTCAATGGATAGGCCCTTTTTGTTAAGCCGTTGTGCTTGTCATCAGAAATGGTAGGCCCTTTGCTAAGCCTTTTCGCAACGTCAAATAAATTCAAAACAAATCATCGGCCCTGCCTCAAGCAGTAGGGCCTAGCTTTGGTTTGAAATTTTTCTACGTCACTAGGCTTATCAATGAAATGAAATAAATGAATGGTTGGCCGTTTTAGCGTGCGGGCCTATTAATGAATCGAAAAATTTCGTTGATCGGCCGTTTCAAAAATCGAGTTATTTTTAATGATTTTTCTCGATTATGCGGAACTTTCCTACACGATTAGTAGCTATCAAGCAGTGCTAAAGAATGATATCAAAACCCGATTTGTTTACGTTTTGGACATAGGCCCTTTTAAAATGTTACTCTAGATTTGATTGTTATTTTGTTGCTGTGAAAGAAACGAGCAAAAACCGTCGTATAATCCTGCTGGGAAAGAAAACCTTCAATCCGAAGAAAAGGTGATATGAAACCGGTTGGGATCCACAAAAGCAGCAGCTTGTTCCATTCAGTTCCACCAGATGCTAAAAAAATAGATGTCTTGCAAGAAAACCAAGACAAACGCAACGGAACAGTTTCTGAATCCTAGGTTCTCACCAGCAGCAGCCCATTCACGGGCCCATACCAATTAATAGCAAATTGTATCCATTTCTGTGACCCTTTGCTTGGTCCTTCTTCCCGGGTGGCACGTGCCCATTCGTCTTTCTCCTGCAGCGAGAGGGCCAAATGCCCGTGTCAAGGACTAATCTGCACACAAACAACAGCAAAAGAGTCGCAGGTGATTCTGTCTTTTTCAGCGTTATGCTATGGTAAAGGCTATGGTTGCCAGTAAATATATTTTTTTGGTTGAAGTTTTGACAGCTTGGTCAACATGAAACACAATAGCAATGTTTGCATGGGTATAACTTTTTTGTTTGGATGAAATGTTCACAGTAAGTAGACAAATGTTCGAAATTATAGTCTACTGAAAATTGGAACAGTTATTCCGGTTTTATTCCGGGTTTCCGAGAGGCCATCGCGAGTGAGAAAAGGTACCAATCGTACATCAAGGTGATGCTGGAATTCCACAGCAACAGGCATCTATGGATAGTGCTGATTAATATTTTAAACAAACCCACAACATGGTTCTAAATACTGAGTGTCCACCGGAAGGCCATCCGGTGAATCGGATAATCCTTAACCTTGATTATTATGTATTTTTGATTAAAGTAGGAATGAAGAATAATTTTGATTTTTAACATATAAGCTGGTCGCCAGAAGATTCGGAACACCTGTCAAATTGATTGCTGTGTAAATTTAATCAATGTATGCTTTGATTTGTTCTGATACTAGGGGAAATGACTCTAATGTTGGCCTATGGATCTAAGATTGGGTCCATCGCTAAAAATCTGCTATTTATCAATTGTATCTAATTGTATCGTCATTGGGACGGTACTAATGGATATTTTTCGTCGATATTGAAAATTTAGTCGATTGCTGAATTTATGTATGGGTCTAAATTAGAAGCATTTAGGCCGACATTACATCCATTTCCTCTATATGGAATGTATTAAAATTGTGATTTTATATATATTAGCTAGCGGAAGATCCGGAACATCCATAAAACTAATTGCTGCGTAAGCCCCATGATTTTTATCTGCAGCTATATGGAATGTAGTTAAATGGTGATTTTTGCTATACTAGCTGGTCATTGGGTCCGAGTGGTCCCCGGATGACCCACCGGAGGATTTGAAACATCCTTAAGATTAATTGCTGTGTAAATTTGATGAATCTGCAACTTTACGAAATGTAGTAAAATTTGTGATTTTCAATATATTAGTTGGTCATTAACTCCGAGTGGTCACCAGATGGCCAACTGGAAGATCTTTGACATCCGTAAAATTGATTGCAGCGTATATTTGATCAGGCTTTAATTTGAAACTTGGAACTATACATAATGTAGTAAAATGGTGATTTTTTGATATATTAGCTGGTCACTAACCCCGAGTGGTCACCAGATAATCCGCAGAAAGATCCGTTCAAACTTTTGGGTTTTTAGACAGTAGCCTATCTGAAGGCGGTGAACTCGATTTTCGGAGTGGTCTAGAAAATGTTGAACCCTATACCACCGACAAACCGACATGACACTTAATTCTGACTTATGCCCGAAAATCGTAAACGGCCGATTTAAATGTGCAGTGATCCGAACTGTCAAATCCATAGGATCCATTGATCTAGACAAAAATAATTTGTCCAGAATAGATCAGACACAAACCAGTTCATAACATTTTGCATATTATTTTCAAGGAAAAACATCTTGGAAAACGAAGATAGTAAAAAAACAAATAGAATGAAAGCAATCTGGCGGTGGCATAAAAATAGATTTTCCATGGGCTGTGAAAAAGTTATTTTGCTTTCATGAAATCGCTAACAAATGCAAAACGTTTTAATTCGATTGATTTTTTTGGAACAGTTGACCCTTTTGCCGAATGAAACCACTGCTATGGTTCCCAAGGCAGCCAATTTCCGGCTTACTGACAGCTTCTGAAGTATCCTGTCGGCAGTTTTCCGCAGTCCCAGTTTGGCACTGATGCATGTTATTTGGATCATCATCGAA